CGGGTGGGGGGCGCCGCGGTCAGCATGCTGCGCGGACCCCGACCTCTGGCTCCCGCCGCCTTGCAGCTCCCCGAGGGGATGACCGCCTTGAGCCCCCCGGAGCTGTGGTCGCCCGGCCTCAGCAGCCCCCAGCTCTGCCCGGCCACCACCACCTACTACGCCTCGCTGTACCCGCAGACGGCGCCTCTTGTCGTGGCCCCCAGCAGCTGTCTCGACGCCACCCCCCACCGACCCGAGGGCCAAGTGGTGCGCTGCGTGCCTGCTGGCCGGCTGCCGGTAACGCTGGGACCCCCTGCCGCTTTGTGTTTTGCTTGGTCCCCGCACGGGTCTGTGTGTGTGTGTGGGAGGGAGGGGAAGGCGGGCAGGAAGGGCACCCCGAGGCCCAGGGTAGCAGGTTGAATTTTGCTGAGGAGGATGAGCCTTCAGTTTCCAGAACAATTCATTGCCCAGAATATCTGAGTAGAAGACCTATTTATTTTAAAACTTAGAGTGCAATGAAATCACTCGCGGTAGAGGAGTAGAATGAGCACTGGACGGGGAGTCCCGAGGCCTGACCCCATTGTCCCTCAGAGTTCAACACTGCCACCATTCATTCTTCTTTCATTGTTTGGGCAGGAAACCAGCACCTGCTATGGGCCTGGCACAAGACTTAGCCTGGGGATATTTTGGGGACTTGAAGACCGGGGAATAGGTCCTGGGTTTCTCTTGAGTCCAATCTGGCCTAAACCGACTCCAGATTGGCCATATAGCCACTCCTTCCCAGGTGTCTGCCCCAAGTCCTCTGCCAAACCCGGTCTTTCCTCCACATGGCCTGTAGCAGACTCAAATGCAGGCTGTTCTCTTGGGGTTTCTATTCCTGTAAGCTGTTCACTCCAGCCCCAGGCCTGTAGTCAGGGAGGGCCAGAGTATGGTGGCCCATGTGAATAGAAACCACCTCAGGGTGGGAGTGGAGTGGGAAAAGCCCTGGGGGACTTGAGGTAGATGTTGGGGAGCTTAGTTTTCTGTTGTGAGCTGCCCAAATGCACCTTGTGTGTCCAGACACGTCTGGACCTCAGTTTCCCTTTCTTGAAAATGTATGCCTGCCTATGATAGCTGTGTTTGGGCTAGCTCATCTCAGTTTATTCCCAACTCCAGGTGGTAGGTTTTGGAAGGAGGCCCCAGGGAAGGGAGATGGGGATGTTGTAAGCATGCTTAGTTGTGGAGGTGATGCGTAAGTTTGGATGAAGGGTTATCTATCCTCCCCCTCTCCCCCAGTCCTAGAGGCATCTGCTCAGACCTGTGCCAGTCAGCGGGCACCAATCCTAGCCATCTTGCTTCAGGGACAGCCCCAGTTCCTGCCATTGGCATCAGTCTTTGTTTTACCTTCTGGAGCTCCCTCCCTCCTTTTTTGTGCTGATACTAGGGCTTGAACTCAGGGCCTAGATGATGGCCCTTAGCTTTTTCTGCTCAAAGCTATGGTCTATCACTTGAGCCACAGCGCTACTTCCAGCTGTTTGGTGGTTAATTTTTTTTTGGCGGGGGGGGGGGGTTGGGGGGCTCCAGTCATGGGCCTGAACTCTGGCCTGGGCGCTGTCCTTCAGCTCTTCAGCTCAAGGCTAGCGCTCTACCACTTGAGCCACAGCGCCACTTCCTGCTTTTTTTTTTTTTTTGCTTATGTGGTGCTGAGGAATCAAACCCAGGGCCTCATGCATGCAAGGCAAGCGCTCTACCACTGAGCTACCTTCCCAGCCCTTTGTGGTTAATTATAGATAATAATCTCCCAGACTTTCCTGCCAGGATTGTCTTCAAACTGTGATCCTCAGATTTCAGCCCTTTGAGTAGCTAGGATTGTAAGTGTGGGCCACTGGTGCCTTTTCTATACATTTTCCAACTGGAAAGGCAGGAAGCAAGTGATTACTTTGCCCATTTTATAATTCAAGTGACTGAGGCCCACTTTCATCTCTCTCTCTCTCTCTCTCTCTCTCTCTCTCTTTTTTTTTTTTTTGGTAGGTTGTGGGGCTTGTACTCAGGACCTGGGTACTATTTGTGAGCTCTTTTGTTCAAGGTGAGCACTCTACCACTTTGAGCCACAGCGCCACTACTGGTTTTTGAATAGTTAATTGGAAATAAGAGTCTTGTGGAGACTTCGCTGCTCGGACTGGCTTTGAACTGCAATCCTCATATCTCAGCCTTTTGGGTAGCTAGGATTACAAGTGTGAGGCACTGGTGCTCTGCTCAGCTTTCATCTTGTGTTCAGTATTTTATTTTTATAACTATTTTGTATGTATGTGCTGATACTGGAGCATGAACTCAGGGTCTGGATGCTACCTCTGAGCTCTTTTGCTCAAGGTTAGCAATTTGCCACTTGAGCCACAGCTTCACTTCTGTCTTTTATTGGTGGTTTATTGACTCAGGGACTTTCCTGCCTGGGCTGGCTTTGAACCTCAGTTCTCAGATCTCAGCTTCCTGAATAGCTAGGACTACAGGCATGAGCCCCTGGCAGCCAGCATGTTCAGTATTTTATAGCCTGAACCTTTTGTAGCCTGTGAAGGGGATGTAATTGGTAGTTCCATGTTACAGGGGGAAACAGTGAGATTGAGGATGTGACCTGTCCAAGGTCATTCAGGGAGATGGGGGATAGTGACCAGATCTACAAGGCAGCTCTCTTCAGCCTTGACCATTCCCAGTACTGCCCAACCCAGGAGGTAGGAGCCCTCCCTCAGGAAAGGGCTGGGTGCAGTGCTTAGCTCTCCTCTGGCCAGCTGCTTTCCAGCCTCAAAGTTTCAGTAACAGCTGTGGCTTTGAAGTGTTTTGAACCCTCCCAGAGGAAGCTGAGTGCATCTGTCTATACTCTGTTTCTGGGGAAGGGAGGGGGCGCCCAGTGATCTTAGCAAGAATGGCTGTCCTTTACCAAGTGCCTCTCCTATGCCAAGTGCAGCCTGGCACCCTCCACACTTGTTATTTTGGGTCAAGAAGCCTGGTATGTGGCACCTGACAGATGAAGTAAAGAAACTTCATCAAACTGAGAAGACAAGTGAAGTCATTTGCTCAATACACAGCCAAGAAGTGGAAGACTCTCCTGGACTAGACCCCTTAAAGGCCTGCCAGGTCTAGAACCTCCCTACCTCCTGCTGGTGCTCAGCTGCTGAGGCTCAGCCTCCTGGGCAGGGCTGCCCCTGCTTACTCAATTTACCAGGGTGTGACCTGGAGCAGCTCCAGACCCAACCCTGGGTGTGGTCAGGCTGCAAAGTGCCGGGTGAGCAGGATTTAGTGGGGTGCTGTCCTTTAAAGGGAAGGCAACTCAGTAGAGAATTAGGCCCCCTCCTTGTCTATCCAGTGTTCTTGCTGCCTCCCTCAGGGACTGACTCCTCTGGGGAGTCCTTCCTCTGTCCAGGCATGTAGTCCTGCAGGACTGTGGGGACAATGGTGTGTGTGTGTGTGTGTGCACACGTGCACGTGTGCATGTGTGTGCGTGCGCACGTGCACATGCACATGCACATCATTACTGGGGCTTGAACTCAGCCTTGTACTTTTTCTTGGCTTTTTTCCCTTAAGGCTAGCACTTGAGCCACTTTCAGGGTTTTGCTGGTTAAATTGGAGATAAGAGTCCGGAGTCTCGGGGGCTGGTTTATGCTTGTAATCCTAGCTACTCAGGAAGCTGAGATCTAAGGATAGTTTGAAGCCAGTCAGGGCAGGAAAGTCTGTAACATTGCTATCTCCAGTAAGCTGGAAGTGGCACTGTGTCTCAAAGTGGTAGAGCACTAGTCTTGAGTGAAAAAGTTCAGGGACAGCGCCCAGGCCCCAAGTTCAAGCTCCATGACTGACCAAAAAGAAGTCTCCTGGACTTTTCTGCTTAGATTGGTTTTGAACAGTCATCCTCAGATCTCACCCTCCTAAGTCTGGCTATGTTGTCTAGGCTGGCCTTAAACTCCTAAGCTCAAGTGATTCACCTTTTTAGCCTCATGAGTGCCTGGGACTACAGATATAGGTGTACTCCGGCTGAAAATAAATAAGTGCTTTTTTGCAACTCTGCCAGGCAGGTTAGAGAGGAAATGCAGGCTTGGAAGGTCCTTGGAGAGGGCTGGAGGCTGGGACTATGCAGCTGCTACATTGTTCAGCTGTAAGTTGAGGGCCCCGGCAGGCGCCTTACACGTGCTTCATTCACCCTACTGTTGTTGGACCTAAGGCCCTGTAGAGACCTGGCTGCATTCTTTGAATGACCTTAGGCCAAGCCACTTCCCCTTCTCTGGCTAGTTTCTTCAACTTGTGCCCATAAGGGGATGGTGCGTAGGAAAGGAGAGTACACTTCTCCCAAGGGTAAAGGACTTCAGTCCTAGCCAGGTGAAAGGGGCTTCCTAGGAGGACTCAGGTTAGAGCCACACAGGCCTCTGGGCTTAGTAGTAGATCTTGGTTTTTCTCACTCCTGCTGTTGGTTTTCAGTTCACCTTTGAACTCTGTCCTTGTTGACATCCTCTGTCCCAGCACTGGCCAGGGCAGAGCCCTCAACAGAGATGGAACTGATCATCAGCCCAACTCTACAGGTGCTCATGATGATCTGAATGCCCAGCTCATCCAGCTAAGAAGGGGGAGACTGCTGGACACTGGTGGATCACATCTATAATCCTGGCAACTCAGGAGGCTGAGATCTGAGGATCCTGGTTCAAAGCCAGCCTGGATAGGAAAGTCCATTACACTTTTATCTCTAACCAGCAAAGATCTGCAAGTGCTAGAATGCCAGCATTGATGAAAAAGCTAAGGGACAGTGCCCAGGCCCTGAGTTCAAGTCCCAGTACCCTGGAGGGGGAACTGGGAAGGAGAAGGAAGCCTAGCTTTGAACCAGGCTGGTCTGACTCCAAGGCCTGGGCACAGCCTCTCCTGGGGCTTGTCCTTTGTCACCTCCATTTTGCAGGTTCAGCCAAGTTACATGTTGACTTTTCTGGGCAGAGCCTAGGAAGGTGTCACCTTGGTGGGTGACACTTTGTTTGGGGACCCTGGTAGTACAAGATAGGGGAAGGGAGAAGAAAAGAGCGTGTGAAGTGATGAGGGTATGTGCAGAATAGCCAGGCCTTGACCCACATTCTAGCAAATTCTGGGGTATTATGTGGGATGGAGCTTTGGAGTTCAGACCAGGGTTTAGACGCTGGCTCTCCCTTTGTATATGTGACCTTGGATGCAAACCATCGTGGGTGAGTCCTCTTGGCTGCCAAGAGAGATTGCTCTTCTTGACGTTGCGGGAAGTAGGAACGTACGTGCGATAGGCCCCACATGGGTTTCTGGTCAAGGTCCTTTCCTCCTACTTGCCTCTCAAGGATAGTGAGTTGGGGGCAGGGGGAAGTGGACCTCAGCCTAACTGGGAAATGTGGGAAGGGAAGAATCCTGGGGTGGACAGCCATGGCCATGACTGACAGGCCTTGGTGCTTCTGGAGAGGACTGGTGAGAGAATAGCTGGGCCCAGAGCACACGGAGGCTTTCTGACAGGGTGGGGTCAGACCCTTGGAATCTAGGATTTCACTTTGGGAGAGGTAGATAAGGAATATTAAGTAGAGACTTCAAGAAGAATAAACTTGGAAGTTTTAGGGACAGAGAAGAACACTACCCTAGAAGCAAAGGTCCTCAACTGAGTCCAGGAAGACTTCCTGGAGGAGGAAGGAGTGGGGGAGGGGTCTGACGCCTATAAGGGCTGTCAGCCTCCTCCACCTGTCGGCCCAGCTGTGCTCAGCAGCAGTTAAGTCTCAGCCCTGTGGAGCATGACCTCACCATCAAGTGTTAAAATCGGCTTTTCACTCAGGGCAGTGGTGGTGGTGTGTGGGGTACTGGGGGCAGAGGAGGAAGGAAATGGGCTCATTGGCCCCCAGGGGGTGTGTCCAGGAAGATGTTGAGATCAGATTCAGGGAAGGGACTGTGCATTTCCTGAGTCCCTACTGTATACTGAGCCATAGGCTGAAGAACTTTCCAGAACTTACTTTTGAGTCCTCACCATAGCCCTGGATGTCAGGGTTTTCTGGCCCACTTTACAGAGCAGAAAACTGAGACTCCTTGCTATGGAGTTTGTCTCCAGGTCACACGGTGAGCTCTCAAAGGTGCTGGAGAATTCAACAGCCTTGTGCCCAGTGCCCCAGTTCTGCCCTCCCCAGCCCTAAAAGAGGCCTTTTCTCTATAGGAAGGGCAACTCTGGCTGCATGGGGAGGGAGGGGGGCACTAGTTGGTGGTGGTGACTGGGTGGAGAGGAACAGATGGGTCTGCGGTTTGATTTCTCCAGCAGGTGTTTCCCAAGCTTGGCGGGAATGGGGAGGGGCAACTAGGCCTCAGCTGCTTGTAGTGAAGACATTGAGGAAGGAAGAACTCATTGTCTGCCCCTCAGCAGGCAAGAAAGAAGGCCCTGGCTGAAGCTCATACCTTGGGGTGGGGATGTTTGTGCTTCTCTGTGGGTACCTCCCTGGGGTGTGGCACCAAGCCAGGAAGTTCTGTGGGCCTGGGCGGATGCTGGGCCCCACCCTGATATAAGCCAGCTGTGGGACCGTGATGGCTGGGCCAGCTGCTCCTAGGGAGGGGCCAATCCCCAGCCAGAGGTGGTTTAGGCCACGCCCAAATCCCCTCCCCCCTGTGTTCTGTGGCTGTGCAGTGCTTGAAGAACCCTCATTGGCCATCTGTATTTATAGGGTTTCTTGGCTTGGGCCTCAGCGATGGGACTTTTACTTCCTACTCCCCAGCCTCTGGTCACTGATATTTCCTTACCAAATGCTGTCCTGTTTCACCTGCACTGGTGACAGACAGGCACTGGAGGTGACTGCAGGTGACCCTCTGTGCCTTTGCTTCAGGCCAGGAAAAGGCTAATGAAGGACTGATAAAGACTCTGCCTCTCCTCCCTCCTTTCCCCAAGGCCAAAAGGAAGCTGGACCTGGAGGGCATCGAGAGGCCTGCAGTCACTGAATTCCGGACTCCCCTGGGGAAGTGCATCCCAGTGGATGGCCTGCCCAGTCCCAAAAGTAAGAGCTTGCCACGGGACATCTGGGGTGGGGTGGGCAGAGGCAGAGGGCAGCAGCCCAAGTCACCACGACTGATACTTGCACACTAGGTCCTTGGTATTCTCAGGGACATGGGTCCAAGGAAAAACTGCTCAGGCTTGGGATGTGTAATGCTAAGTGTACTGAGAATGCAGATCCATCTTTCTGCATCACTATCCAACTTCTGCTGCCTTTCAACAAATACTAAATTTTCACTTTATCATTTCAATTATTCATATTCACCCTCCCACCCCACCCCCTGCTGCTGGTGCTGCATGAGCATTTACTTTTGGGGGAGGCGGAGTTTCACAAAATTAAGGGCAGGGAACCAAACATTCAGCAAACTACAAATGCTTTTTGTTGTTGTTGTTGTTGATTGTGGGGCTTGAACTCTGGGCCTGGGCACTATCCCTCAGCTCTTCAGCTCAAGGCGAGCGCTCTACTGCTTGAGCCACAGTGCCACTTCTAGTCTTCTGGTGGTTTACTGGAGATAAGAGTCTTACAGACCTTCTTGCCAGGGCTGGTTTTGAACTGGGATCCTCAGATCTCAGCCTCCTTAGTAGCTAGGATTATAAGCGTGAGCCACTGGCTCCTGGCTTATAATTTATTTATTTTTTTTAATTTTAATTTTTTGCCTAACCTGGGGCTTGAACTCTGGGCCTTGGCACTGTCACTTAGCTCTTTTTGCTCAAGGCTAGCTAGCACTCTACCATTTGAGCCACAGAGCCATTTCCGGCTTTTTCTGTGATTAATTGGTGATCAAAATCTCATGAACTTTCCTGCCTAGGTTGGCTTTGAACCGAGATCTTCAGATCTCTCAGCTTCCTGAGTAGCTAGGATTATGGGCATGAGCTACCTGCGCCTATCAGTGCCTGGTTTTTGAGTAGTGGGGCTTGAACTCAGGGCCTAGGCACTGTTCTTGAGCTTTATTTTGTTCAAGGGACATTTTGTACTCTAATATTTGAGCCACAGCGTGAGCTACCAACTGGGTGCTTTCCCTCAGTTCTTCAGCTCAAAGCTAGCATTCTACCACTTGAGCCACAGCACCATTTTTGGTTTTCTGGTAGTTAGTTGGAGATAGGAGTCTTAGGGACTTTCCTGCCCAGAGTGGCTTTAAACTGCCATCCTTAGATCTCAGCCTCCTGAGTATCTAGGATTACAGGCAATGAGCCACTGGCGCTCAGCTACAGCTTTATTAATTTTTGGCAGTCATGGGGCTTGAACTCTGGGGCAGGGCGCTGTCCCTCAACTCTTCAGCTCAAGTCTAGCGCTCTACCACTTGAGCCACAGCGCCACTTCCTGCTTTTTCTGCTTATGTGGTGCTGAGGAATCCAACCCACGGCCTCATGCATGCAAGGCAAGCGCTCTACCACTGAGCCACCTCCCAGCTCCTCCAGCTTTTGATTTTGTTGTTGTTGTTGCTGTTGTTGTTGGTGGTGGTAGTAGTGGTGGTGGTGATGGTGTGTGTGTGTCTGTGTGGGGCCTGAATTCTGGGCCTGAGCACTGTCCCTCAACTTTTCAGCTCAAGGCTAGTGTTCTACCACTGGAGCCACAGCACCACTTCGGCTTTTTCTGCTTATGTGGTGCAGAGGAATCAAACCCATGGCCTCATGCATACAAGGAAAGCACTCTACCACCGAGCCCCCTTTCCAGCCCCATGTGTGGGTTTCTTTATCTTTTTTTGTTTTTTTTCCTGCTTCTAAGGAGCAGGGCACAGAAAGGCAGGGAAGAAGGGTGAACAAATGCTATTGTGGTATTCCATATACCCTATGTGGAAAATGAGGTATGCAACTTGCAGGCAGGGAGGGGAGGGGCAAACTGGAGGAAAGCAAAGGAAAGGGTGATATGGTCCCAAAGAGAAATGGATACATTACTTGAATTGTGAAATGACAACCCCTCTGTACAACCCCTTAGTAATAATCATAAAATTACATTTTAAAAATTATTGTAAGTTGGATGCCCGTGTCTCATGCCTCTAATCTTAGCTACTCTGGAATCCTGAGATCTGAGGGTCACAGTTCAAAGCCAGTCAGGATAGGAAACTTCAGAAGACTCTTTATCCTCAATTAAAAAGCTGGAAGTAAGCTGGGCTACGGTGACTCACGCCTGTAATCTTAGCTACTGAGGAAGCTGAGATCTGAGGATCACAGTTCAAAGCCAGCCAGTGCAGAAAAGTCCATGAGAGCCGGGCGCTGGTGGCTCACGCCTGTAATTCTAGCTACTCAGGAGGCTGAGATCTGATGATCGCGGTTCAAAGCCAGCCCGGGCAGGAGAGACCTTGAGACTCCTATCTCCAATAAACCACCAGAAAACCTGAAGTGGCGCTGTAACTCAAGTGGTAGAGTGCTCGCCTTGAGCTGAAGAGCTGAGAGACAGCGCCCAGGCCCACAGTTCAAGCCCCTGGACCCACAAAAAAAAAGCTTGAAGTAGAGCTGTGGCTCAAGTGGTAGAACACCAGCCTTCAGTGAAAATGCTAAAGGATAGCGACCAGGTCCTGAGTTCAAGCCACAATACTGGCATAAAAAAATTATTTTTTATTGGCCGAGAAGATTGCTCAGTGGTAGAGCGCTTGCCTTGCATGCATGAGGACTTGGGTTCTATTCCTCAGCACCACATAAGCAGAAAAAGCCGGAAGTGGTGCTGTGGCTTAAGTGGTACAGTGCTAGCCTTGAGCTGCAGAGCTGAGGGGACAGCACCCTAGCCCAGAGTTCAGGCCCCACGACCGACAAAAAAAATAAAAATTATTTGTGACCACATTTGGCCAGTACGATATACCTATGAGTCAGGCAGGCTTAAAGTATCATAGTTTCTGGTTTGTCAAGGTTTCCTGTGTATTCCTGCCTTAATCCCCTGTAGATTGGTCATGTCCCTTTTATTGGCAGAAAACTTGAGGCTCAGAGCCTGTTTTATCTAGGGCTACACAGCTAGTAGTGGAGTCAGGGCAAAAGCCTAGGTAACGATACTGCTACTTCTATACTACTTTACTCAGGAGCTAAACATGATGATGACCAGTGTTTATATGAGACCTCCCTATTTTATTTTAATTGATTTTTATGCCTGTACTGGGGCTTGAACTCACGGCCTTGCACTCTCCTTTGGCTTTTTTGCTCAAGACTGGTGCTCTACCACTTGAGCCTTCTGGCTTTTTTTTGGCACTTGTTCTGAGTTCAGGGTGGGCACTGGCCCTGAGCTTTTTTGCTCAAGTTTAGCACTCTACCTCTTAAGCCATAGCTCCCCTTCTGGCTTTTTGAAGGTTAATTGTAGCTAAGAGTCTCAAGGACTTTTGTCTGGACTGGTTTTGAACTGTGAGCCTCACATCTTAGTCTCCTGAGTAGCTAAGATTACGGGCGTGAGCCACCAGTGTCCAGCTAATAGGATGTTTTCCTTTTTCTTTCTTTTCTTTTTTTTTTTGCAGTCCTGGGGCTTGAACCTGGGCTCTGTCCCTGAGCCTCTCTGCGCTTAAGGCTAGTGCTCTACCACTTGAGCCACAGTGTCCCTTCTGGCTTTTTTGGAGTAGTTTATTGGAGACGAGAGTCTCATGAACCATGATCCTCAGATCTCAGTAACTAGGATTATAGGCGTGAGCTATCGGTGCTTGGCTCAGAGTGACCTTTTTTTTTTTTTGTCGGTTATGGGGCTTGAAGGCTGGACCTGGGCGCTGTCCCTCAGCTCTTCAACTCAAGGTGAGCGCTCTACCACTTGAGCCACAGCGCCACTTCCTGTTTTCTAGTGGTTTATTGGAGATAGGAGTCTCATGGTCTTTCCTGCCCCGACTGGCTTTTAACTGTGATCCTCAGATCTCAGCCTCCTGAGTAGCTGGGATTACAGGCTTGAGCCACTGGAGCCGGGCTTAATGTGACCTTTTTTTAAAAGAGAATTGCACTCAGGAATAGGGCTTAACAGAGTGACTCCCAAGAGAAAAGAGAGCTGAATGATTCAAAGAGATATCTGCATTACTTTAATCAGCCTTTACTACCTGCTGAGGGTTTAGGATCCAGAGACTGCTCATCTAGAGCCTTTTCCTGAAGCTAACCTGAAGGGATTTCTTTGAATACTTCACTGTGGGGCTGGGAAGGTGGCTCAGTGGTAGAGCGCTTGCCTTTCATGCCTGAGGCCCTGGGTCCTGGGTTCGATTCCTCAGCACCACAAAAGCAAAAAGAAAAAAGCCGGAAGTGGTGCTGTGGCTCAAGTGCTAGAGTGCTAGCCTTGAGCTGAAGAGCTGAGGGACAGCACCTAGGCCCAGAGTACAAGCCCCACAACTGGACCCCCCAAAAAATTGTGGATGAATACTTCACTGTATATTCTGGCTAAAGTCGAAGTTTAAGCAAGTATAGGGAGAAATGCTAGTTTTTCCTGATAACCCAGCAAAGAAAATATGTGACTGAGTGATATTCACCAGCCAGGAATTTGGGGATCTAGGTAGGACTTTGATGTGACTTGACTGTCCTTCCTCTTCTGTGAATCCTTGCCCCATCTTTATGACAAGGCACAGCTAGATCAGGAATGGTTAAGTTTCCTTTACAATTGAAGCCGGGCACCGGTAGCTCACGCCTGTAATCCTAGCTACTCAGGAGGCTGAGATCTGAGGATCACGGTTCAAAGCCAGCCCTGAAAAGCCAGCTCCCAAGCCCAGAGTTCAAGCCCCATGACCAACCAAAAAACAAAACAAAACAAAAAACAATTGATAGAGGCTGCTCCAGCACTGCATTGAAGAATTCTATGTGCTGATCCATTAGTAATGTCTCATGAACACAAACCTGGCAGAGAAGCCTGTGTGCCAAACCCTTGTCATGTAATGTGTTAAAGGATTCTGATGTCCTCTTCCTGAAGAGTCTTAGTTCCAGAACTAGTTGGGCCACTAACTCACTATGTGACTTACAAGTCACTTGGTTGCAAAAGACCCCTTGGTCTTGTTGCAGCAGCGATGTGGTGTTGAGACATCAGTTACCTTGAGAAAGTAATCTTTTTCTTGAATTGCCCATTTGATGTTATATGACTGATTTCTCTCAGTGTAGTTATTGGACTCCATAGGGAAAGGAAAAGGCAAGTGTACATCCATAAAAAACATTCTCAGCCAAGTGCTGGTGGCCTCGTCTGAAATCCTAGCTACTCAGGAGGCCGAGATCTGAGGATTGTGGTTTGAAGCCAGCCCCAGCAGGAACGTCCCTGTGAGCCTTTTTTTTTTTTTGGTCAGTCGTGGGGCTTGAACTCTAGGCCTGAGCACTGTCTCTCAGCTCTTCAGCTCAAGGCGAGTGCTCTATCACTTGAGCTACAGTGCCACTTCCAGTTTTCTGGTGGTTTATTGGAGATAAGAGTTTCACGGACTTTCCTGCCCAGGCTGGCTTTGAACTGAGATCCTCAGATCTCAGCCTCCTGAGTAGCTAGGATTACAGGCGTGAGCCACCAGTGCCCAGCTTTTTTTTTTTTTTGTCAGTTCTGGGGCTTGAACTCTGGGCTTGGGTGCTGTCCCTGTGCTCTTCAGCTCAAGGTGAGCACTCTACCACTTCAGCAACAGTGCCACTTCTAGTTTTCTAGTGTTTTATTGGAGATGAGTCTCATAGACTTTCCTGCCCGGGCTGGCTTTGAACCATAATCCTCAGATCTCAGTCTCCTGAGTAGCTAGGATTACAGGCCTGAGCCACCGGCACCTGGCCCCCATGAGACTTATCTCCAATTAACCACTCCAAAAAAAAACAGAAGTGGTAGCTCCAGTGGTTGAGTGCTAGCCTTGAGCACAGAGAGTCTTAGGGACCACATCCAGTCTTGTTGGGTTCACCCTGTGATAGTTTTAGATTCCTGGTATAACTGATAGCCCAGGGTAATGGTTAAGAAGGAGTGGGGGGAACGCGGGCAGATTGTCAGAATTTTAAATCGTTTGTAGGGGGCTGGGAAGGTGGCTCAGTGGTAGAGCGCATGCCTTGCATGCCAGAGGCCCTGGGTTCGATTCCTCAGCACCACATAAGCAAAAAGGAAAAAAAAAGCTGGAAGTGGCGCTGTGGCTCAAGTGGTAGAGCGCTAGCCTTGAGCTGAAGAGCTGAGGGACAGCACCAAGGCCCAGAGTTCAGGCCCCAT